GCCCACAGAGCACACACGCCTGCCCAGGAAGCCCAGCCAGACTGTTCCATAGAGCCAAGGGTGGGGAGACTTGGTTTCTTGACTGGTCCCGAAGAAGGATGTGGTGCTGGGTATAGTATCGGGGCAGCAAAGAGAATGACGTTGGTGGGATGGATGGATACAGTGGCCAAGCTCATAATATTGTGAGACTTGGGGGAATAGTACACAACCTCGTGGAAAAGAGCACCCACACCTGCGAAACTGGGGGTGGGTGGGGTGGGATCCCTGGGATTGAGGGGGCCAGAGCGGCTGTGGGCCCAAGTAGGCACATAGCCCTCCGACCTGCCTCTGATCAGGAGCAGGGTAGAGTAAGAGAGTCCCAAAGTGTGCTCCCTGCCTTTATTCTAGCCCACCCCCTGGCTGGGGGAAGGCGTGGTTGAAGGTATTGGTTGATCCTATTGGCTGGGTCGAGCCCACCTGGGTGTTGTCATGAGCCTGGGCCAAGTTTGCACTGTCCAGTTATACCTCCCACCTGGCGTGGGGGGCAGGCTCAGTTTGGGGTCTCCATAGGTGTCTAATGGGTGTCTGATTTCTTTTCAACCTCCTCTATGGGCGCCTTTGCAGGCATGGCAGGGACAACCTTCCTGTCCCTAAATGTTGGGGTAGGACACGGTCGTGTCGTGGTGACGCCTTGGCCTGGGACCCGCGTGGTTGGCAGCTCAAAACCACCGGCAGCTCCGAGGGAGAAAGACTGGGCTCTCTACTTCTGTCAACGTCGGTCTCAGAAGCCCATGGGGGGCTCGCTGTGAGTCAGCGCTGACTCGTGGCGGTGAGAGCGAGTGGTGTTTGGTGTTCTGCCTCCACGCGCTCTTGCCTGATTCCTCTCTCCCCGTTACCATGTTTTTCCAAACCAGAAACCAGTGCATGTGGCATAGAATGGGGCTTCAGAAACCTCAGGGAACAATTGCATTATCTCAATCCCATTTTCCAGATTTTTAATCATTCTGTTGGGGGCTTGTACCAACTCATCACAATCCATACATCCATCCATTGTGTCAAGCACACTTGTACATTTGTTGCCATCATCATTCTTAAACATTTGCTTTCTACTTGAGCTCTTGGTATCAGCTCCTTGGTTCCCCCACCTCCACCCTCACCCCCAATGAACCCTTGATAATTTATAAATTAATATTTTGTCATATCTTACACTATCCGACATTTTCCTTCATCCACTTTTCTGTTGTCTGTCCCCCAGGGAGGGGGTTATATGTAGATCCTTGTAATTGATTCCCCCTTTTGTACCCCACCCTCCCTGTATCGCCACTCACACCACTGGTCCTGAAGGGATCATCTGCCCTGGATTCCCTGTTTCCAGTTCCTATCTGTACCAGTGTACATCCTCTGGTCTAACTGGATTTGTAAGGTAGAATTGGGATCATGGTATTGGGGGTTGGGGGGTGAGCATTTAAGAACTAGAGGAAAGTTGTGTGTTTCATTGTTGCTACACTGCTGACTCGTCTTCCCAGGAAATTTTTAAAGCACTGCCCCGCATGTTTTCCTGTCAGGGGAACAGCAATGGTAACAGCATACGTGGGGAACCGTCTGCCTCACATTGACTGCTGTGTGTCTGTCCCCAGACCTTTCTTCCTCTGGTACCCGGGCCTCTTGGTTATTGATCCTTTGTCCACAACAAGGGCTTTGGGGATGAGGCCCCTCTTGGGTGTCATGGTCCCCCACAGGCCATCCCAGGGGTTCTGGGCCTGTGACTGCTGGTGATGACCCCTCTCCCCGCCCCCCCAGATGACGTGCTGACTAAGGACGCAGGCGAGTGTGTGATCTGCCTGGAAGAGCTGCTTCAGGGAGACACGATAGCCAGGCTGCCTTGCCTGTGCATTTATCACAAAAGGTACCGCACAGCCCAGAGGCCACTGGGAGGTTGGGGGACGGGGCCATGCTGCCCTGTGGGTGCAGGGTGCACACGGGTCTGTCAGCTGAAGTGCCGGGGCCTGGGCTGGGGTGGCTGGCGCTGGATGCGTGCTGCTGGGGTACAGAGTGGAGCCTGGGCTGAGGTGCCTCCCTTTACCTGGGAGGTGGTTTCTCCATCCGGCTCTTCAAGCGCCCCACTCGGAGGATAAAAGCCTCATCAGTGCAGGGGAGGTGCAGCGACGGGAGTGTGCCCTCGGACTGTGTTCTCAGGGACAGGACAGGAGGCAGTGGAGACACTGCCGCTTGGGCCCAGCTCTGCAGGCAGCTGTGCTCAGCAGGGCCAAGGCCCTGCTCTGGTGCACACCACACTGCGAGTTGCGGGCACCTGCCCCCGGCTCCTCCAGCCTGAGCTGAGGATGACTGCCAGCCCCAGGGTGATCATCCAGCCGACGCGCAGGCACCGAGTGCAGCTGGACAGAGTCCCAGAGCACTGTTCTCAGACCCCAGGGCGGCGCTAACCAGAACCAGAGTAAGGAAATTGCTGGCCCTGTGGAGAATATGCAAATCTCTTGTCTGGTTCCTGTCTTTGAAAATACACAGCTGTTGATTTACAAGTCAGAAAGCTGTCTGAGGGAACCTCTGCCCCTATGTCTCTCAGTGCTAGGCCAAGCTTCCTGACAGCCTCCACTCCCTGCGGCTGCTGGGAAAGGAAGGGGGCCAGCTACCCTGGCAGCAGAGCTGGGCAGTGGCATTAGGGTCTCCAGATAAGCACCCCGTGGCGGGGGTAGGGGGACGCGCGGGGAGCGGGCTTCAGCACTTCTTTGGCCAGGCTCAGACCCAGCAGCCATGGTCATCCATCATCTTTGCTCCCGCCTCCCTTCCTCCCTCCAGACCGTAGAGATGGCTGCTGCCGCCCTCACCCATAATGCACAGCTGGTGATGCCTCTGCGCTGGGCACAAGAGTGTTGGTCCTGCTTCTCTGTCCTGCAGGGCCAGCCCCCAAACTAGAACTTCCTGGTCAGCCGCTGCTCCCCACCCAGCTCAGTCAATCCTGGTGGGGTGGGGGGGGTCCTCCCTCCTTTCTGCTTATAGATATTCAGCCGTGTCTCCACAGGGTCCTCCCAGGAGAGGTTCAGGAAGATCTCTTCCCCCATCCCCCCCACCCCCCCGGCCAGAAATTCAACCCTCTGAAATCACCTTGCACGGAGCGATCTAGCTGACTGGTCACTGTGTCTCCCTTGCCTCCTCCACTCAGCTGCATAGATTCGTGGTTTGAAGTGAACAGATCTTGTCCGGAACACCCCGCGGACTGACCCTGCCGGGCATGCTCACTGACTCCTCTCAAAGGTGAGCCTGTCGGGGTGTCCCGACGTGGGGGGCACGGACACGATACAGACGGGATGTACACACGAAGGATGGCCATGCCCAGGGTCACGGCCCTGCTTGAGTCTAGTCCTCACCTCTGGCCATCTCCTGAACCCTGGGGACTCCTCGCACTCAGTCTGTGTGGACCCCTCCCTTTCCTGCTGCTTCTGCCCAACCAAGGCCACTTCCCTCTGAGTCCCAGGCTCAACTTGGCCCGCCTTCCCCACGTGGCGGTTACCTTGGCCTCCCCTGGCATTCCTTCCTGGGGCACCCTCGCCAATGGCCTCTCTCCTCCCTCCCTCAGGGAAGTCCAAATCCCGGCTGCCACCTTGCCTCACACCCAGAGGTTTGGGGGTATCCTTTGTCTTTTCTCCCCCACCCCTTTCATTTGTTCCCCACTAGGTTTATTGTATTTATTCCACGTAAACTCCTGAACAGCTGATGATGTCAGACAAATCAGGGACATTTGCTCTTTTTACCTTCACTTCAAACCCTGACCACCTGGGAGCAGACAGCTGCCAGGGTGAGAGGAGGCAAGGGGGAGTGAGTGGAGCCCGGCGCTGGACTGCAAGCCCCAATTCCCGGCATGATGTTTGGCTCCAGGGGCCTCCCCACCAACCGGAAGACGGGAACCGCAGACGCACGCCCGCCCCAGCGGGATGGCACGAGGCGGCCCTCCGGCCAGAGGGAGCACGACTTATTTATTGCGATCCACTTGGGGACAGACTGGCCCCGTGCCAGGAGGCTCACCGGACATTGGAGCAGAGCTGAGCTTGGGACCCCAGTGGGGACAGGGTCCACCCCTCCCGCGTTGACTGGAGAATGACTCTCCCTCTCCCCTACCCGACCCCCAGGACACCCCATAGGACGAGCAAGTGTGAGAAGGCTCCGACCGCCCCTCGCCCCAGGAGGGGAAGGGCCCTTTCTTCTTGGCTCACCTCGGAAAGGCGCCGTGGGTCTGTCTTTAACGTGTTTACAAAAAAAAAAATTATAAAAAAAGTCTAGTGTCGACTGGTGTTTTTCCTCGTGATGTTTACAGATTGCTGCCCAACTATCACCCACTCAGTGACAGAAGAGCCGGGCCCAGGGCACCCACTGTGCACACACCACAGCCCTGGCCCGCCCTGGGTTTGTTCCTTTTCTGTTTCCCTCCCTCCCGCTCCGCGATCCCCTCTCGGTCTAGGTCAGCTCCAAGCTCCGAGCCCTCACAAGTGTCCCATAAGAACGCCAGGCATTTGTCTCAGGCTCTGTGGACTCCACTTCCCCCCATCAGAAACTAAAAACAAGGGGGGTGGGGGGGGAGATGCAGACTTAGTTAACCAAGCTCCCCAGCCTCAGCCTCTCCGTTTCCAGGCGACTCTGAGAACCTTTTAGCCATTGCCGTTCATGTGGCACCAGCCGTGCCATATAGGTTTCTGTATTTATATATTAAAGAAAGAAAAAAACTTATAAAATGTAAAAAAAATGTTCAGAGCTTGGGAGAAGCTTTCTTCATTAGTCAAGGTGTTTTGATATGGTATTAAAATCATGTCTGATAAAAGCTGCATGGTGTGGTCTTATTTCGGGGGCGTCAGGAAATGGAGCAAAGCTTGTCTCCCTCCTCACCCACTTCAGGCAACTTGCTCCAGACTATACAGGTGTGAAGCGGGTTTCTGAGGGTCTCCGTGTCCTACACGTGGCACAGAGCCCAGCCTACTATGCCTGTGTGTATGTGTCGGGGGGAGGCAGGTTTGATGTTGCTGTTCTGGAAAGATCCGCAGGGGCAGAGGTCTTGCAGCCAGTGGAGGTTCTGACCTCCAGGTGCTGACTGGCACATGCCCCACTGGCCGCGCCCTGTGAGCCTGTTGTTCCACGAGACTTGTCTGCTGATTCACAGGCGAGCCTCCCTGGAGCCCAGAAGAGGCCTTGGGTTGGGACGAAGCCAGTGCTGAGCCCTTGAACCAGAACCAGCCACTCGTGGCTCATAGAAGTTGGCAAACTTGGCTGGGCGGGCAGTGGAGGGTAGGGAGCAGCAGTGCCAGGCAAAGGGCAGGCTGCCGGGGCCTCTGCAGCACCTCAGACCTACCTGCCTTTCGTGCTGCTGCCTCCCGGCTCAGCCCGCCCTCCAGCAGAGTGCCCACCAGACATGAGGAACACCTGGGCAGTGTCAGCACAGGTGCCCGAGGTCCTGGGGGAGGAAGGCCGAGCTGGGGCGTGAGGAGCTCGGGCCTTTGTGTCCGCTCCAGCTGGGATGGAGACCACCAGGGCCCCAGTCAGCACCCTGAGAGGCAGCTGACTAGCATGCCTGCCTTCATAATGTTGGGAGAACCTCAGATTCCTCAAGTGTAAAGTGGGGATACAACCCCACAGCTCGGAGGTCACAGGGAGGGTCGGGGAAGCTGCCCAGAGGCACCTGGCACCTGTACTGCTGGCTCGGAGGTGGCTTTGTCACCACAAAGGGCACTGTTCTATTCCCGGCACTCCCGCTTCTGCCTGGCAACTGTGTCTCCCCACTCTGGATTTAATTCCTTTGCTGGTGGGGTGGGGCTCAGCCCTGCCTGTCTCCTTGGCTGACCCTTAGGCCTGGAAGCCATGCTGGGTGCCCCAGCACCCCTTGGACCTGTCTTCAGTCATTGGGTGTCCCTGAGCTGGTGCTATAACCAGCTTCTTACACCTTCCACTCCCACCTGGCACTGCCACCCTCTGCCAGCTGCCTTGGCCTCCCCACCCAGACCCAGTTCGTTGGTTCTTGGGGAAAACAGGAAGCCTTGGTGCCTGGGCTTCCCAGGTGGAACTGGGCTTTGCCATCCCCCATACTGACTGGGATTGGGAACCGTTTTCCTCCTGCTCTGCCTTTTGGGAAATAGCTGCTGCAGGGGAAGGTGGGACACCACACCCAGGCCATCCTTCTAATAGCTGTTCAGTTAAGGGCTGGGTATTAAAGTTTTATTAACTTGGTGGTGTGTTTTAAGCGTTGGATTGCTAAACTCACAAAATCAGCTGTTGGAAACCATCCACTCCTCAGAAGGGTTTTCTAGTCAAATGAAGGGTTTATGCTCTGACCCGTAGGGGTGGTTCTACCCCGCCCTATAGGGTCACTGTGAGTCGGAAATGGCTCGTGGCAACGAGGGGCCCAGACATACAATGCTTAGCTGCTAACTGAAAGGTAAGTAGTTCAGAGCCCCAAGCTGCTCGGTGGTAGCAAGATGAGGCATTGTGCTTCCATAAAGGTTTTACCACTTTGGAACCCCGACGGGGCAGTGTGCCCTGTCCTGTAGGGTCTCTAAGTCAGAATGGCCTTGCGGGCGTACAGCAATGTAAGGCGCTCATGTACAGAGGGGGCTCCATCATGAAGTGTGTAACAACTCTAGATGCTTGGTCCCCAGAGTACACACACAAAGGAGGCAAACATTTATTGTGGCTTCTTCAGTGGTTGGTATTTCCACGAACAACGTACTATTATTCCCATGTTTCTGTATGTTGAAAATTTTTCTCAGTAAAAACTTTCGGGGTGATGGCCATTTGCTGAGCATTGGAAGGCACATAAAAGAGGATGTGGCCCCGAGGCAGTGCGGGGGCGGGCGGCCAAGAACATAGGAGCTGAGTGGGTAGGGGAGAGGAGACTGGAGTCTGCAGTAGCCCTTGGCACAGCCCCTGGCCTGCTTCATTGCCCATATTAGAGAAGCTGTCTTTGGCATGAGGGTCAGGAAGGCTGTGTGGGATACAGCCCTTTCCCAAGGTGCCAAAGGCCCAGAGGCCATGGGAGATGGGAAGGCACTGCAGGGGTTGGCGTCCAGGGCTCAGAGCTACAGGCCCTGCCAGGAAGGGCTAGTCCTGGGCGTCAGCGACCCAGGCTAGATGCTGCTGAGCTTTCGTGGCGACCAGCACCCTCTTGTGGGCTTTGGGGGAACAACCGCCCAGTTCCACCGGCAGAACTGCTTGCAGCATGGCCGCCAAGGGGAACAGGCCGACTGGCCAGGGCACAAAGGTTGGTAAGCTGCAGGTACTGCTCCCTGGAGAGGTGTGTTATGGGGAGGATCACGTCACTTCCATATCTAATGGTGAGGAGCTCGATGGCACCTGGGGTTAGGCATTTGGCTGCCCCTGGAGGGGCTGGGCAGGCTGGATGCCAGGTACGGAAGTAGTGCCCAGGGGCTGGCCTCCCAACAGCTGCCCTGTGTTCCAGGCAGTGTGGGTTCACCTGAAGGACTGCTGTCCTGGAGCAGCAGGTTCCTGTCTGTGGCAGGGCAGGGGCCCAGTTGGAGGGGCGTTGTCAGGCCTGGAGGAGGACCTAAGCCACCCTGTCCTCCCCAGCCAGGCAGGACGGGTAAGCGCAGAGAGGAGGCAGGGTCTCAGGAAGGACCCTGAGTCATTTACTAGACAAGAATCCCCACCCCAGGACAGTCAGGAGACCAGGGAGGAGCCAGGGACCCAGGTTCCCCACCCAGACCCGGGACCAAACAGAAGGCTGGCTGGCTGGCAGGGGCACCAGCTGGGCGCTCAAGGTGGCCTGAGGTGGTCTGGATGCAGGGATGGCGCATGCACAGCCTCTCACAACACCTTGCCTGGGTTCATGAGGCCCCGGGGGTCCAGCGTGGCCTTGAGCTGCCGCATGGTCTCCACACCCACGGCCCCCACCTCTTCCTGTAGCAGCTGCCGCTTGCCCAGCCCAATCCCATGTTCCCCAGTGCATGTCCCTTGGAGAGCCAGCGCCCGCCTGGAGGCCAGCAGACAAAGGTCCTCAGCATGGCCGCCTCCCTTCCCCCCACCGCTCAGCATGCCCCCCACCAGCTGCCCTCTGTTCCTACCTGCCCAGCTGCTGAGCAAAAGCCTCCACCCTGTGCAGCTCCTCGGGGTCTTCAGGGTCCACCAGCAGGATGCAGTGGAAGTTTCCGTCCCCCACGTGCCCTGCAATGGCTCCTGGGGGCCCGGAAGACAGAGCTGCTGCCTCCAGCCCCTCACCTACCCACCCACCAGGATCCCAGGGAACAGGCCACACCTGTGAGTCCCGAGGTCTTCAGGTCCTCCTTAGTCTGCACCAGGATCTCCGGCAGCCGGGAGATGGGCACACACACATCGGTGGCGTAGCCCTGGGTGGGGGGACAGGGCCAGGAGCTGAGAGTCAAGGTCGGGGTGGAGGGTGGCGGGCAGGCACAGGGCTCCAACTCAAAGCCTCTTTTCAGGAAACTTCCGGGTGGGCCTCAGAGCCTCAGCTCCCTCCAGGTGGGCGCGGCTACTTGCAGGCCCCATACTTTGGGGACCCCATGGGTCATCCCCAGGAGGCTCTCTAGATCCCCAACCATGGGGCTGATGCTAACACCTGCCCTGCCTTTCAGGAAGCCTTCCCTTTCTTCACAGTGCCCAATCACGCTGCCCTGGGCTTCCAGCTCACCCTGCCCCAGAGCCCCTGAACAACAAGTCTGCAGGGGTAGCCTGCAGCCAGGCTCGGGGTTGGGGGTGTCTCTGGGCCTCAGCCTGCTGCTCCACACAGGAGGGGCAGGCATGCTGGCCCCCAGCCCCCTCACCTTGGAACCAGGCCGAAGCGCCAGGATGGCGTACCAGGCGTTGTGCCGAGCCGTCCAGAGCCGGCTGCGCTCCTCGGCCTCCTTGGCCCAGGCAAAGTGGGAGCCCCCGTTGTGCTGGGTGACCTCCTCTGTAGATTGCCAGGG